CACATAATATTACCAAAGAAATTTAAGTGAATAGAGCATTTTATCCAACCAAAGGACCTTGTACTGTGGAAGGACAAAATGACCCAAGAAATCATGCCTTTAAAAATATCCCAAGAAAGTGTCTTCATAAACAGTTATTCATCTTAATGCAAAATTATCCTATACACAAAAATATTAAAACTTGTAAAAACATAAACATCTAATTACTGTATGTACATATGCTTCTATGACTGGGCCCTATAAATTCCTATATTAAAATTAATGGTCCCGCACAGCACATATTGTATCTTACAAAGGAGATCATATTATATGAAGAGAATTTATCAGTTATAAATCTCATAGGCCCTTCTAAATAGGTAATCATTTCATGACTCTTCAAAATTTATGCTGTCTCCCCTTTTTCCCATTCAGTCGTTTCGTACAGGTCATTATAAACTTAACTGAATTCTCTCCATATCATCAAACTGCTATATAAAAATATATTTCCTTTAAATTCCTCATTCTAACCAAGCTCTCAACTTCTTAATAATACCACAAAAAATATCCTGCAGTATCCTCAATATAACTTCTCCCTTGCTCATATGAGGCAAGGAGAATTTATGTAGTATGGAATTGTATAAAAATTAAACATGGTCATTAAACTATAAAATACACTGAATATACAATAAACTTATTACCTATGATTTAAATAAAAAATAAAAAAGTGTCCTCTAGGTGGAACCTGAGCAAGGCAAAATGACTCGGGCATGATACCACAGTATGTCAAACTACACAAACACTTTATGCAGTGATAATGCTAATGTGTATCCTATATACATTAAATGAATGATGTACAGTAGAGAAACTAAAAAGTATTTTTAAGCTGGCAATATTACCACTCAACTGAACCTATGTATATGTTGCAATGATCTACCAGAGGACATCCAGATTTTTAAGTCGTACAAAATAGGATGAATTGGTTAAAATGTGAGGAAGATTTCTGGTACTTGTCACAAGTGGCGATGTGCTTTTCTTTATCTGAACTTATGTAATCTAATACAATACTTGGTAGATATTGGAATGGCTTCAATTCTCAATTTTATTGGAATTCTTATTTCACAGACACACAAACACACACAAAGAGAATTTCGTTCTATAGGAGTATTATTATTGTGAAGTGAATTTCATTCTAAAGGAGTATTATTATTATTATGACATTCAGAACAAAGCCCTAAACTAATAGGGGTCATGTAGGGCCTGGGGAATAGGAGGTAATCATGTTTGATCTAAGGAGGGGAAGATCAGGTACTCACTGGCATACAGTAACTCACTGACATACAGGTCCTCACTGGCATACAGTAACTAGCATACTAGTATTTTGTTCATAAGTAATAAATTATAGTATTTCCTGAATAGAAATTTGACCTGAGCATACTAAAGAGACAACAAAAGTAGATAGAGCTGAGGAATGTGTTTACAAATAAACGAGTCAAATTAATGACTACCAAAATAATTCTTTACTGATCTTTTGGTAACAAGAAAACACAAATCCAAAACATAACACAGAAATACTGCTCACAAATCTATATCATCATCTTTCAACAAACCGACCATATTCCATCAAAGCAGGGTGGCACAAAAATAAAAATAAAAGCTTCTCTTCTTAACTTTAGTAAAGTATACAGCAGAAGGGGTTACTAGCCCCTTGCTCCTGACATTTTAGTTGCCTCTTATGACACACATGACTTACAGAGGAAGACTTCTGTTCCACTTCCCCATGGAGATAAGAGGAAATAAACAAGAACAAGAATTAGTAGGAAAATAGAAGAAAACCCAGAGGGGTGTGTATATATATGCTTGTACATGCATGTGTAGTGTGACCTAAGTGTATGTAAAAGTAGCAAGACATACCTGAAATCTTGCATGTTTACAAAACAGAAAAAAGACACCAGCAATTGTACCATGTAAAACAATTACAGGCTTTTGTTTTACACTCGCTTGGCAGGACAGTAGTACCTTCCTGGGCAGTTGTTGTCTACCAACCTACTACTGTACCTAGAAAATCTATATCTATCCAGTATATATTTTTTTAATAAAGAAAATTATTCTATTTGGAATGGTAGTGAATTTTCATGTGAATGAAGAACCATTTATGATGGATGAGAGTTGAAAATGACTAGCAAAGTGAAAATTCTTAATCCTTACACATCATGTCATCTAAATTTTAGTGCCTTAATTGCAACTGAAGCACTTTCATACATATACATCATATTCTATGCAAGTTTTCATTTCATGATTTCTTATACATCACCTGTAACCATTCTTAATTAAAATAATAAAAGCTATGTTCATGTAGTCCAGTCTTCAGCATTTAGTTCATTTGTTTCTAGTACAGTAAAAGCAGCACACACTATGGTACCCTCTAATGGATTCTATTGTAGCAGTCTGCCTCTATTATTTTTGTAATATTTTTTTCTATAGTTTATTTCATAGTTTGCAATTATGGTCTATTGTTTACCTTAATGATGTTGCTAATAAATCTTCCTTGGCTATTTCTTGTTTTATTTTAAAATCTTTATATAGATCTTTGTCTCTTTCAAGTACATGCAACAGTGGTTGGCTGTAATTTTAATTTGAAAAAGCACACATCCACATTCACCTCACTGTATAAAGTTGCTATTTTTTTATGAGCTGATTAACAATACTTTTGATCACCTATCTTTTTTTTTTTTTTTTTTTTAACAAGTCGGCCATCTCCCACCGAGGAAGGGTGACCCAAAAAGAAAATACTTTCACCATCATTCAACACTTTCACCTCACTCACACATAATCATTGCGTTTGCAGAGGTGCTCAGAACACAACAGTTTAGAAGCATATACATATAAAGATACACAACATATCCTTCCAAACTGCTAATATCCCGAAACCCCTCCTTTAGAGTGCAGGCACTGTACTTCCCATTTCCAGGACTCAAGTCCGGCTATATAAAAATAACCGGTTTCCCTGAACCCCTTCACTAAATTATTATTATTACAATAAAAAAGAAGTGCTAAACCACAAGGGCTATACAGCGCTGCATTGCAGGAAGGAAGCGAGGGTTATCAGGTGGCAAAAGGAAGATGGGTGAGTAAAAGGTTACGGAGAACAGCGGGGCAGTGGATGGTGAAAGGGTAGAGGGCAGCAAGAGATTGAGGTAGAAAGGGCTGAGGGAAGTGCAAAAGGTATCATCATAAGAGTATGTGTAGTAAATATTACCTTGCTCACACTCCAACAAATCGTCAGGTCCCAAATACCATTCGTCTCCATTCACTCCTATCGAACACACTCATGCACGCCTGCTGGAAGTCCAAGCCCCTCACCCGCAAAACCTCACTTAGCTTCCTTCCAACCTTTTCGAGGACAACCCCTACCCCGCCTTCCTCCCCCTACAGATTTAAATGCTCTCCATGTCATTCTACTTTGATCCATTCTCTCTAAATGACCAAACCACTTCAACAACCCCTCTCCAGCCCTCTGACTAATACTTTTATTAAATCCACACCTTCTCCTAATTTCCACACTGAATTTTCTGCATAATATTTACACCACTCATTGCCCTAAGACAGGACATCTCCACTGCCTCCAACCGCCTCCTCGCTGCTGCATTCACAACCCAAGCTTCACACCCATATAAGAGTGTTGGTATTACTATACTTTTATACATTCCCTTCTTTACCTCCAGAGATAACGTTTTTTGTTTCCACATATACCTCAATGCACCACTCACCTTTTTTCCCTCATCAATTCTATGATTAATCTAATCCTTCATAAATCCATCCGCTGACACGTCAACTCCCAAGTATCTGAAAACATATGCTTCTTCCATACTCCTCCTCCCCAATTTGATATCCAATTTTTCTTTATCTAAATCATTTGATACCCTCATCACCTTACTCTTTTCTATGTTCACTTTCAGCTTTCTACCTTTACACACACTCCCAAACTCATCCACTAACCTTTGCAATTTTTCTTTAGAATCTCCCATAAGCACAGTATCATCACCAAAAAGCAACTGTGTCAATTCCCATTTTGTATTTGATTCCCCATAATTTAATCCTACCCCTCTCCCGAACACCTACCTATTGAACATTATTTCTGGACAATATATCACCTGACTGCACATCACCGATTCAATCCGTGGATCAAGGAGAAGTTTGAAGTTTCATGATAAATATCTCAACAGAATATAAAATTACTTTCATAAAAGTTAAGGAAAGTGTTAGGTATAAAGGTTTTCCTAAGAATTTCATCATTAAAATCAAGCTGTATCATATTGCACAATCATAGTTGTCTACTACCAGTGAAAAGACAACCACAATTAGGTGAGTACTCTGAAGAATACTTGGAATAGATTTTGGTCTGCATGCGTATTCCTTGAAGATGATACTCTTATTGATTCTGAGGGGCTCCATGAAAATTCAGGGAAGAATGAAATGAATGAATTACAGAGCCATGCCAGTAATAATGCTTAAACAAAACATCAACTGTACATGTTTAACATGTACATTAATTGGAAAAGATAATTACTAAAGACGAGCAGGTACTCTATCCTCTTTTGATTTTTTATATCTTTGTATATGTATACCATAATCTTTATTAACTTAAGTCTATGGAAATTCTAGAATACATTTTTAAGAAAACTCCTGGTACCAACAGGTATGGATTATTGGAGTAAGGTTGTGTATTACAGCCATAAAATAAATACAGTGGACCCCCGCTTTACGATCAGCTCCCAATGCAACCAATTATGTAAGTGCGTTTGTACATATTGGCAGTTTGGAGGGATATGTTGTGTATCTTTATATGTGTATGCTTCTAAACTGTTGTATTCTGAGCACCTCTGCAAAAACAGTGATAATGTGTGAGTGTGGTGAAAGTGTTGAATGATGATGAAAGTATTTTCTTTTTGGGGATTTTCTTTCTTTTTTGGGTCACCCTGCCTCGGTGGGAGACGGCTGACTTGTTGAAGAAGAAAAAAAAAAAAAAAAAAAAAAAAAAAGTTTGTACATGTATGTTTGGGGGTCTGAAATGGACTAATCTAATTCACAATATTCCTTATGGGAACAAATTTGTTCAGTAATGGCACCTGAACATACTTCTGGAATGAAATAATATCGTAAGCCGGGGGTCCACTGTATTTTGTGTATCAGCAGAATAGGTCTTACCTATCTGAGGTGACAAAAAGCAACTGATATGTTTGACTGCTTCGATTTGCTTCTCCTTGACTAGTGGTTGCCAGCAGGGTTACCAAGTTAGTTATGTATATATATCATAAGTACAGTACCAAATGTGCATGACAATGCTCTAAGAAAATAGCACACATGTATTTTCATGTATTGTATATTATGTACAATATACACAGGGCCAATGCTCACTTAGTAAATCTAAGAGTGGTCTTCAGGAATCTCAACAAAGAGGCTTTCCAAGCATTTTGTACAATGTATATCAGGCCCATCTTGGTGTATGCAGCATCAATATGGAACCCACTCCTGAGGAAGCATGATAAGAAACTGGAGAAAGTGCAGAAGTATGCAATAAGGCCTGATCCTAAGTTAAGGGAATGAGCTATGAGGAAAGGCTAATGGAAGTGAATATAATGACACTGGAGAATAGAAAAGCCAGGGGAGATATGATAACATACAAAATACTCTGAGAATTGAGAGGGTAAACATGAACAGGCTGTTTGAGAGCAAGAAATGGGAACTTGGGAATCCAGCTGGAAGTTAAAAACACAGATGAGCAACAGGAATATCAGGAGGTATTTCTTCATTCTCATGGAGGTCGGAAAGTGGAATGATCTCGGTGAAGAAGTGGTGGAGGCAGGCACCTTACATACCTCTATGAGCAGGTACAATAAGGCCCACAAGGTAGGGGGAGTGAATCTGGCAAGCAGCAAGTTAAGAGGCAGGGCCAGGAGCAAGACTTATACTTCCAGCTACATGTAAGTCAGTACACAGTATGTTGCCAAGAGAATGCAGTGTTTGTAAAGATACTTCCTAAAAGAGATTTACAAAAATTCTTTGTCAAAATCACCACCTGCCTTTTAAATAAAAAAAAATTATCACAGAAGTCCTATTATGAACTATAATTGAAAACTAAAGACTTAATATGATTTATTATTACACCTACTGGAATCACAGTACTGTATTAGGTACTAAGACTAAACTTAAGTGTGCAATTAGGTATTTACCAGGTACTGTGTTAACCATGGTTTTACTTCCTAATATGGGCATAGGGATTGAGAGGCATTTGTTGTAAATCTGGGACAAATCATGTTTTCTTAACTCTACAGTGTGCCCTTCTAGCCCAAAACCTAGAATCTGAAGAAATAACTATGATAACATACCAAAAACACCCAGACAGTGAGGGCCCAATCACCGGTAATAATGTCCACTAGTCACTGATGTGGCAACTCAGACTGAACAGTATTCACCTAGTGTCATGCCAAACAAGGGTTTGGTGCTAAGTAAGGACTGCAAGACATTACATATGTATATATGAAATAAAATTATACTGTTTTGTATTCAGTTGCAGAACTTTTAACTTATTTTCATACTTTTAATATTACTAGCTATTAAATTGTAATACTGTAATAAAGTACTGTACAATGAAAAAATACAAATTAATAACTAAAAACTTCAGAGGAAAAATGAGTGATGGCTACACATTGGAATGATATTTAAAAGCAAAAGTATAAATGTGGTAACTCTCGCTTTACATCCCAGCAAGTACTATTAGAGACGAATCAACTTGTCTTGTTAACTGGTAACCCTGTAGATAACAAAAAAAGGCACAATACTGTGACTGGAACGATACACAAATAACCCCTCACATAGAAGAGAGGAGCCTACGACGACGTTTTGGTCGTAGGCTCCTCTCTTCTATGTGTGGGTTATTTGTGTAACCCTGTAGATCAAAGGAAAAAATCTTCAATTAAGAAGCCTTATTTTTCTTTATAAACAGTGTCGTTTACATTATAAATTACCTCATTAGTAAAGAAAACATTCTCCAGCACAAACAATAACTGATCAATTTGCCACCTGCATGAGAGGCAGCCGAGATGAACAGTAACTGAGTGCCATGTCTGACATGCACTTCAACACGTAGATTTCCTTCAATAGTGGATTACCACTCAGTCTTAAATAACACCCAACTGATATGATAGTAATAATAGCTAACTAATGCAGTCTCTCTGACACATTAAAAAAATCACTTTGATCAAACCTAATACTTCAAGTGCAGAAACTTCAAAGTTAATGAATAGTTATCAAAAGCTTTGACTCTGGGTGAATATAAGGGCACAAATTAATATATATCACACATATTCCCAATCAGTACCTGGGCTGCTCTCTGAGTATTTCATTTCTCTAAGACTCCAGCAAACATCTGTAAAAAAAAAAAAAAAAAAGAGTAAGAAACTTTATGTCAGTGATATAGTACAGTAAGTAATAGCTTGCCTACTGTGTCCTTGACCTTCTCTCCATCATATTTCTAGTCTGAGTCATGAAATATACAGTAGCAACATTAATTTTCAACAGAAAAATCAGAATACAAATATGTGGAATTACTACATACTAGAATGGCTGCCAGATTTTGATAATGAAACTGGTCCTTCAAGCTATGTTCAATGAGGTTTTTCATCAAAGTAATAATAATTTGATCTTTTTTTTTTTTAATTTCTTAAAAAAATAAATACCATGCTTATTATTTTCATTCAACTAAATCTTTAGCTATACCATGCAGTACAATTATCACTGAAAAGCAACTTACTCAGTGTCTTCTTCCCGTCTGCATCGTTGACTTACAGACAAATTTAGAATGCCTCCTTTAGTGGAGTCTGATAGCCATATTCCCACAGTGGATACCAAGGCAACTAGGGGACAAGACAAAAATAACAAACATTTAGCACATACATCACAAATGAAAACTCATATTTTCAATAAACAATGGGTCAAGGCACCAGAATACATAGGCACAATACATGGCATAAACAAAATGCCCCACATATAACTGAATTACAGTACAAAAATCTACAGAATCTCAAATGCAATTATCATATTTCTTGGTAAACGAAAAAGGTACAGTGATCGATCTCTTTAACAAACCTCTCATCTGTAAAAAGAATTAATGACCATCTTTGCAGTTTGGCTACCAAAACTGGTTAACAGTATTCAGATGTCTCACTTTATTCCAACTTGCTAGTAATCATATACTTTTCTACTTACAAAGCAGGTTGTGGTATCCCTACTGTCTAAGATGAAAAAAATAGATTGGAGAGAGAGGGGAAGGGGAATAGAGAGGGAAGGAAGGATGAAGGGAAGGAGGAAAGTAGAGTGAGAGGAAGGTAGGGGAAGTAAGAGAGTGCAGTTTTTCTTCTAAATTAATCGACTGCTTTAAAGTGTGTGAAATACTATAAGAAGGGATACAAAGGTGATGTAACTACAGAATCTTTTCATACACTCCCTAAGTCAGTCATTCAGTCACACTCACTCTCACTCACTCTCTCACACTGACACTCACACAAAAAAATCACTCTATATTGTTAGATATTTATTAAAATATATTTAAACATAGCACAAAATTACTGTTCAGTTATCATAAAATGTGAGTATAAGATCTTTTTTTTTTTTTTAACTACACCGATCGTGTCCCACCAAAGCAGAGGGACCCAAAACTGGAAACACACGCACCGTAATTTATATTACAGCTGTCTTGCCAGAACTTCACAGACTTCACAATTTAAATGATTCTCTGAAGTGCAACATCCCTACCCTTCAGGGTGCAGCTGCTGTACTTCCCACTTGCAGGACTTAAGTTCAGCTAAGTGGTTTCTCTGAATCCCTTCATATACATATATATGTTACTTTCTCACACTACAACAGCTCACAAGCCATAAAACCACTTTTATCCACTTCCTCTGATCTAATACACACACAAGCCTGCTGGATGTTGAAGCCCCTTTCACTCAAAGCCTCCTCTCCTAGGATGACCTTTACCCCTTCATCCTTCCATCCTAGATTTATACACCTTTTTGATCATAATCTGCTCCATCTTCTGTTAATGACCAAACACTTTCAAGTATACCTCTGGTAACTTCATTCTATCTTCTAATTTCTACACTCTAAATTCTATGCATAATATTTACACTACAAAATGATTTCAAATGTGACAACTCCACTGCCTCCAGCCTCTTTCTTGTTGCAATTTTCAAAGTCCAAGCCACACACCCATATAAGTGTTGATAACATTATACATACTCTGGTACACTTCCCTTTTTGCCTCCACAGATAAACTTTTCTTTCCACAGATGCACCAACACACCACCTAACTTTATCCTTCCTCTATTCTCTCATTCACCTCGTCTTTCATAGACTCTGCTAATATGTCTACTCCCTAATACAGTGGAATCCCGAGTTTCGGCCATAATTCGTTCCAGAAGGCTGTTCGAGTGCCATTACCAAACGAATTTGTTCCCATAAGGAATAATGTAAATTAGATCAGTCCATTTCAGAGCCCCAAAAATACACTTACAAAAGCACTTATAATAATACACTTACATAATTGTTCGAGTTGAGAAGTGGCCAAAACTTGGGGTACCACTGTATCTGAAAATATTCACTGTCTCCATATTCTCTCCCTCCAATCTGCTATTCAGTCTTTCACTGCCTATACTTTTTGTTACTCTTTTCTATTTTTTTCTTTTTTCTTTTACATACCACACAAATTCTTCTACCAACCTTTGCAACTTTTCTTCATAATCTCTCAAAATGAACTGTCATCAGCAAAGAGCAATTGTTATTGTTCTATTACATTTACAAAGCATTAGAACCTTTAGGTTATTCAGCATTTTAAAACACATTCTGCTTTTAACATTATATAACAAATTTTAACTATTGATACCACCTTTCATCTTGCTATTGTCATGACCAATTCACCCTCATATTACATAAGTAACAATCACAATACAAGTAAAAACATTCAAAATTCTTTTTCACATTCTTCTATGTCCATAAAACAATTGATGTCACTGGCTAAGATTTTGAGCAAATTTAAAAGAAAGGGGAAATATCCCCACCATTTATGCTGAAAGAGATGCTGGGATTTTAATCAGGCAAGCGCCCTGCGGGTAGAGTGGCACCTCTCCCAGAGGAAAGCCCCCTATCCCTAGGCACAAACCACAAACTCCCATCAGGAGACCAAGCATCAGGCAAAAGTTCCCACTTTGCATCAGCTTAATTATCTTTTAATTCCATACCTCTCCCCAACACCCTAACATTCACTTTTATTACAGTCCAATCTATAAATATGTTAGACAACCATGGTGGTATTATACATCCCTGTCTAAGTCCTACTTTTACTGGGAAATAGTCCTCTTCTCCTATATACCATAAACCAAGCTTCTAATTTGCTTGAAAACTCTTTACTGCTTTTAGTAACCTACTACCTATTCCATACATTTGCAACATTTCTTCCCAATCCACCCTATCATATGCCTTTTCCAAATCCATAAATACAACTACAACAGTTGCTTACCTTTACCATAAGTAAGGGTACTGTACTTGTAGACAATACTGGGGATCGCTGCCCCTGCAGCTCAGTCACAGACCAATAGCTTTCTTCCTCAGTTTTTTTGGATCAGATGTACTGATATTACTACCAAAATAGCCAGCTACAAGTTCTAATCAAATAGCTAATAAAAATACACACTGGACAAAAAAATCCATGCATGCACTCATATGGAATTTGTGTTTTCTGAAGCACTCCCCCACCTACAGTTCAGTTAAGAGAGCAATTACTGTAACTACTTCAAAGTCTGTGCCATAGTACTACAGGTTTGAGCTCTGGGTCTGTGCCATAGAACTACGTGATGAGCTCAGCTCACTTAGATAACCGGTGAGCAGTAAATATGGGCCTAGATAAGAGAGAATGGGTCGATGTGGTGAGTGTACTCCGTATAAAAATAATCATGCCCAATGCAGGGTTCACAGACACAACTACAGGTTTACAGACACAACTACAGGTTTACAGACACAACTACAGGTTTACGACACAACTACAGGTTTACAGACACAACTACAGGTTTACAGACACAACTACAGGTTTACAGACACAAAATACAGGTTTTACAGACACAACTACAGGTTTACAGACACAACTACAGGTTTACAGACACAACTACAGGTTTACAGACACAACTACAGGTTTACAGACACAACTACAGGTTTACAGACATAACTACAGGTTTACAGACACAACTACAGGTTTACAGACATAACTACAGGTTTACAGACACAACTACAGGTTTACAGACATAACTACAGGTTTACAGACACAACTACAGGTTTACAGACATAACTACAGGTTTACAGACACACTAAAGGTTTACAGACATAACTACAGGTTTACAGACACAATACAGGTTTACAGACATAACTACAGGTTTACAGACACAACTACAGGTTTCAGACACAACTACAGGTTTACAGAATAACTACAGGTTTACAGAATAACTACAGGTTTACAGACATAACTACAGGTTTACAGACACAAAATAAGGTTTACAGACATAACTACAGGTTTACAGACATAACTACAGGTTTACAGACACAACTACAGGTTTACAGACATAACTACAGGTTTACAGACACAACTACAGGTTTACAGACACAACTACAGGTTTACAGACACAACTAAAAGGTTTACAGACACAACTACAGGTTTACAGACACAACTACAGGTTTACAGACACAACTACAGGTTTACAGACACAACTACAGATTTACAGACATAACTACGGGTTTACAGAGAAAACTACAGATTTACAGACACAACTACAGATTTACAAACATAACTATAGATTTACAAACACAACTATAGATTTACAGACAACTATGGATTTACAGATGCAACTATGGAATTACAGAGACACAACTACAGGATTACAGAGACACAACTACGTAATTACAGAGACACAACCATGGAATTACAGACACACAACTATGGAATTACAGACACACAACTACAGAATTACAAAGACACAACTATGGATTTACAAATGCTACTTCACATTTACAGATGCAATTTCACATTTACAGATGCAACCTCACATTTACAGACACAACTACAGATAGACAAACACAACTTCAAATTTACAGACACAGATACACACGTACAAACACAACTTCAAATTTGATGTTTTATCAAAGGCATTTATTTTTTGTTATATAGTAAATTTGGGCCTACATATGAGAGAATAGGTCTGTGTGGTAAGTGTGCACTACATATCAAAATCCTGCAGCACGGAGTGCATAATGAGAAAAAACTGCGGCTGTGTTTTTGGTGTAAAACAGCGACTGCAGTACATTTTCGTATGATTTTTATGGTTGTATTCTCGTTTTCTTGTTGCATTTGATAGAATGGAAGATATATTATAAAAATACATATGATTTTGATTGGTTTCATGAAGGAAAGTACCTTGAAATTGAGCTCAAAGTCGCAGAACTGTTTGATTTTTCCCGATGTTCAAGAATAAACAAATGACATCATCATCCAATACATGTCCAACTGGCCAGTCTAATACGCAGTCACAAATGGTTTGACATTATTTATACAATCATTACAATAATGCAGTAGTCTGCACAACAGTAAATCTTCTATTTTATGTGTGAATAAAAGTTCAAAATGGAAGGCAAGCATAATATAAGAGGGGCCTGGAGATGTGACTAATGTACAGAGAAAATGTTATTTTAGTACCAGGAATGTCTGCACTGTTTATTCTGGACCCATCTTGAAATCGGCATCTCTTGAAATTTGTGTGAAACTGACCAAATTACCGATTTCTGACCACTTTATTGAGTAGTTAAATTAAGTAAATTGGGAGTTTCTTGTACTCAATCTGCAGAACAGAAGGAATACTTGTGAAGTAATTATGAGTTTGGTCAACTGGAACAATGGAATGGGCCAAAAATAGGGTGTAAAATAGGTGAAATAGCCGATGCATAAACATTGCTGTTGGGTCAAGTGCATTCTAACCTAACCACTCTATAATCCAGCAAAATCACTAATTCAGCACCCTACAGGTCCTGATGATGCTGGATTAGTGATAGTCAACCTGTACTTTTACACAATACTGGAGATCACTGCCCCTACAGGTCAGTCCTTGACCAATAACGTTCTTCCTCAGTTGTTTTTGGATCAAATGTTCTGATATTACTATCAAAATAACCAGCTACAAGTTTTAATCAATTAGCTAATAAAACCATAGTGGACCAAAAAAATCCATGCAAGCACTCAAACTGAATTTGTGTTTTCTGAAACACCCCCACCTCCTATAGTTCAGTTAAGAGAGTAATTACTATAACTACTTCGAAATCTGTGCTGTAGTACTAGAGGTTCAAGCTCTGGGTCTGTGCCATAGAACTATGTGATGAGCTCAGTTCACTCAGAAAAGCAGTGAGGGGTAAATTTGGGCCTAGATATGAGAGAATGGGTCTATGCAGTGAGTGTGCACCATATAAAAATAATCCTGTCCCACACAGTGCATCACGATCATGAATTTGGTTTAAAATAGTGACCTTGTGGTGTACTTTCAGATGGGTTTTAGGGTTGTTTTCTCAGAATCATTTGACAGAATGGATGATATATTACAAAAATAGAGATGATTCTGATGGGTTTCAGGACTGAAAGTAGCAGAAATGTTCGATTTTTGCCAATATCCCAGAGGACACATAATACATCACTCGTCCAATACACATCTAACTGGTCGCTGACACTATTTATACAGTTATTATAATAATGCAATAGTCTGCATACTGGTAAATTTAGTTTTTGTGTGAATAAAAATTCAAAATGGAAAGCAAGTGTAATATAGGAAAGGCCTAGGGAGGAACTTATGAATAGAAGAAATGTTTTAATGCAAGGAATGTTTACATTGTTTGTTGTGGACCCTATTTTTAAATGGGCATTTTTTTTGTAATTTTGTGTGAAATTAGCCAAATTAAAAATTTCTGAGCATATTACTGGGTAGCTGAAATAGGTAAATGGGCACTTTCTTGCATTCAATCAATAGAATGGAAGGAATGCTAGCATGTTTGGTCCACTGGAACAGTGGAATTGGCCTAAAACAGGACTCAAAGTTGGCAAAATTGCTGATGCTTAAACATCGCCGAGACCACTAACTTTGCAAGAGCATAATTCCGTAAGTTTTCCATCTAATTCTGATCTTTTGGCTTCATTACCTTCGGAAAAAATCTCTATCATTTCAAAAGATTTTTTTCTTAATTCTTGAACCCTGGAAGGGTTAATATCTCTATAATATCACTTCGTCTGCAAAACAAGTGAAATAATTAAATTAATATAGAAATGTATCTAATAATCAAAAGGATATAAATTTACTGAACTTTCAAATAATATATCAAGAACTTTTTTTGGTTACCTAGACAGTGCAGTATTTGTTAAATTTACCATAATGTACTGTAGTAATACAGTCAAGAAGCTATACACTTCCAGGAAATTTCCCACATTATGAATCATGACAAACTACAAAGACAGGAAACATTTTCATATTTTATGTACAGGAATAAAAACAAAAAAGCTTCTCCTTTGATCTTAAATACAAGGTGACAAAGTGCAAAGTATTCTGTACTTCATCTGATGTAAAACTGAAAATGCCATTAACTTTAATAACCCTTCCACTGTCAAGACCCCCAAAATTAAGAGTGCAGTGCTCGAAACAAACATCCATGTGAGAGTCACTATATACAAGACAGTGAAAGGGTTAATTATACCCAATTCAATGGATCATACTGCACAAGCACTTAAATTATATTCCTAATAGATCCAAGAGTTCAATAATACACAAAGGAATGAACTGATGTCCACGGTGAAAGCTAAATGAGATCAAGCTTTTACTAAGCTAATGACAATTAAAATGCCAACATTAAACGCACAACAATTTTCAACTATGATAATTCCCACATCATACAGTACCACTGTGTGGAAGAACATACTTTGATGTATGGCCGAATTAATTATATTCTTAAAGTTTCTCATCAAATGCTTCATTTGATTTTCCCTCTGAAGCTTGTTTTTCCAGTCGCCTTTGAGCAGGTGACATCATTAGATACCCGCTACCATTACTGTCCACCACAGCGATGGCAGCAGTCGAAGCCAGCGCAACTTTTAAAAGTAAAAATGTTTATGTACAAAATGTCAGTATACTTTTAAAACAAACATTGTAAATGTGTTGTATCGTTAGTAAACATTTTCAGCATTACATGCATGCAATCATTACCAGATTACATTTAACGTTATCTTAAAACATAAAAAAAATTGCACTGCTGGAGGAAAAAGACTAAACCTTAGAAAAAATGTGCATGTACTGTAATTTAGAAAAACAGGGAAAAAATCAACATTTTTAAAAGCATAAACTAAAATTTCATGAGCTTATCATATGCACGAATGATTCCACAATGTTATTACAGTAGTCTAAGAATCTTTTGGGTTTAAGTTAAAGAACATCTCCCACTCAGTAGGGTGACCCAAAAAGGGAAACACATTTGCCATTATTCATTCGGTTGCTGTTGTACTAGAAGTAGCAATATAGATATTATTAAAAGATACTGTATACTGTTTAAATTTTTTTATAGTCATCAGTATGACATATCAGTAAGTTCTGAATAAATCTCTTGCAAACAGTTTTTGTTGTCATATAAAATAATTCATTGACTTACTACAGAGCCACACCATGTAGAACATCTCAAGGACCAAGTAACCCTTCACATCCACTATCAGTCCTGCTAGCATGCTGATGAGGGCTAAACCCAAGTTTTGGATACTCTGCATCCTAAAACACAATAATCATTTTAGTTTAATGCCATCATTGAACAAAAGACAACAAACATCATCAAGAATATGAATGAATATTTTGTTCTGGTGCTGTCTAAAAATAGAAAACAAGTATAGTGTAAAAATAAAAAAAAAAAAGTGATAATATTGTTTGTGGTGAAGATTTTGGTGTATAGAGTACATCTCCAGTGGATGGTGGAAGGCAAGAAAATACATAAAAGAAAGAGATATCCATCAGAATATGAAACTCAATAGGGCAGAATTTTTTTGTAACTTCTCAAGTCTTTCTAAAAATATCTGTTTGTGTAGAAATATACACTCAACCTATCAAGTTTCCTCAACAGCAGTGTGTAAGAAATGTGTCACGTATTCAAAAATGCAAGATGCACAAAATTTAAATGATTATGATGAAAACCATCAGCATTTATTCATATTTTAAGTGTAGTTAATAATTAGAAGATATTATTTCAATTCATTTTACAATAAAGGAAAAAAATCACATGCTATTGGAACTCACATGCCATAAGCAGTTCCTAGTTGATGATCAGGAATGACAAGGGAAACCATCGGCCACAAAGCACTTGCCAGAAGGGAGTAAGCCAGGCCTAAAATACTCTGAAGAAAGAATTAATTTATTAAAAACATCATTTCTTGATGATTTTTCTATTCAGCTTGTTGAAAATAAATTCCAATGGTGAATAAAAGAAGTTTTGTTACATATATACACACTTGAACCAAGAAGGCTAAAGATAAACAGATTTAATTTTCCTGTAAATGAAACAAGTACAGTGGAATCTTGACTTACGAGTATAATCCGTTCCATGACCTAGCTCGTAACTCAATTTACTCATATATCAAATCAATTTTCCTCATTTAAATTAATCGAAATTCCATTAATCCATCCAAGCGGCAGGACAAAATATTTTAATATAACACTAATATCAACTCTATGGCTTATTTATCCATCACAATTCATCTAATATGATATAATAAACAATATAATTAACAGAGAAACAAGATATATACTCTGAAATGAGTAAAATAGGCATAATATGACGAGTGATGATGGCGGCGGAAGCGGCGCCAGCGTCTGCCATTTACTCTCCCACTCTGACTATAGTGTCTTCTAATGCTTTTATTATAAGAGAAAAGGCTGAACCAATGTACGTATTAATAATTTTTTTTTTTTTTTTCAACAAGTCAGCCGTCTCCCACCGAGGCAAGGTGACCCAAATAGAAAGAAAATCCCCAAAAAGAAAATACTTTCATCATCATTCAACACTTTCACCTCACTCACACATAATCACTGTTTTTGCAGAGGTGCCCAGAATACAACAGTTTAGAAGTATATACGTATAAAAATACACAATATGTCTCTCCAAACTGCCAATATCCCAAACCCCTCCTTTAGAGTGCAGGCACTGTATTTCCCATTTCCAGGACTCAAGTCTGGTTATATAAAATAACCGGTTTCCCTGAATCCCTTCACTAAATATTACCCTGCTCACACTCCAACAGATCGTCAGGTCCCAAATACCATTTGTCTCCATTCACTCCTATCTAACACGCTCACGCACGCTTGCTGGAAGTCCAAACCCCTCGCCCACAACACCTCCTTTACCCCCTCCCTCCAACCTTTTCAAGGACGACCCCTACATTATATAAAAACATAAATCATAATACACTATAGAATGTATGAAATAAACAGTTTATATAAAGTGTATAGTGTACTTACACACTTGGAACAGAGATGGTGGCAGAGATTGAGGGTGGGGGAGGTAGAGGGTGGGAGAATGGCAGTGCAGCGTATGATGTCAGTGGCCCTATATACCTCCAACATTGAAGGAGTTAGTTTTGTTTTGTCCTTTTTCTATCACTTAATAGCTTAACTAACTTGCTACACTTTTAATGCTACACTTTATCACTGAACTTAACTGATACAATTTGTTTTGTTTAATCACTGAATTTTACTGATACAATTTGTTTTGTTTGATCACTTAGCTTAACTGATACAATTTGCTTTAACCCTTTCAGGGTCCGTGCCGTAGATCTACGGCTTTACATTGAGGGTCTAAACCATGAGCTCAGCTCACTCTGATAAGCTGTGAGTGGTAAATTTGGGCCTAGATATGAGAGAATACATCTATGTGATATGAGTGCACCACATAAAACAAATCCTGCAGCACACAGTGCATAATGACAAAAAAACTGAGACCTTAATTCTCGATTAAAACAGCGACTTTGCAGTGTTTTTTCATATGTTTTTTATAGTGTATTTGCGATTTCTTGGTCTCATTTGATAGAATGGAAGATATATTACAGGAATAGAGATGATTTTGATTGGTTATAGTACTGAAAATGGCTTGAAACTGAGCTGAAAGTAGCAGAAATGTTAAATTTTTGCCGATGTTCAAGAATAAACAGATGACCTCACACGTCTAATACACGCCAGCTGGTGGGTCTAATATACGTTCACATATGTGCTGATATTATTTATACAATTATTACAATATTGCATGACAGTAAATCTTCTATTTTCTGGTCTGAATAAAAATTCATTATGTGAATTAAAAATCAAAATGGAATTCATTTGTAAAGTCTGAAAATATAACTAATGAACAGAGGAAATGTTAGTTTAGTACCAGGAATGCCTGCATTGTTTATTCTGGACCCTATTTTGAAATTGGAATATTTTGAACTTTGCACTAAATTGGCCAAATTACCAATTTCCAATCACTTTATTTTGTAGTTGAAACAGTTGACTTGGCGATTTCTTGTGCTCAATCGATAGAATAGAAGTAATACTAGTGAAATAGCTAAGAATTTGGTCGACTGGAATAAGGTAATTGGCCTAAAATGGGAGTCAAAGTCGGCAAAATTGCAGATTCGTAAATATCGCTGACATCAAAATTCGTGAGAGCAGAATTTCGTCAATTTTCCATCAAATTTCGTACTTTTTGTTTTATTACCTTCAGAAAAAGATTCTCTACCATTTCATACGAAAAAATAACAAAATTATTTTTTGAAAATTCTTGGACCCTGGTGAGCACTTTGAAATTTGGCCTCTGGACCCTGAAAGGGTTAATATAAGTTAGTGTAAACTTGTTGTCTGGCATTTATTGCATATTTTATATGTGCTCTGATAATAATACTTGTGGAGCTGTGTGGTAGTTGGGTGGAGGGACAACATTATGTTTTCTCTGCTCAGCCATCAGAGAAAACGTGTATGAATCTGCGTTTGGCCCAGTCACTCCCCCACTCTGTTTTTGTTTATGATTTTCGGCATGAATTATTCATTACTTCTCCCTTCGTTTATGATGGCATCTAAAGGTAGTTGTTAGAAATGATTAAATTCAGTAAACAAGGTATGTCAATGCTAATAATATGGCTCTGGGCCACAGTGTAGGTAGCCGGTAGGTGTAGCCCAGGCGGGCTACACCTACCGGCTACCTACACTGACTTCCTACAAATAAATACTACTCACTTCTCTTCCTATATTAAGACTACACATATTTTAAGGTAAATAGTGAGCGTACTGTATGTGTATTTTAACTCTCTGGGATGTTTTAAATATCGTATATTAAGTACGAGACGGGGAGCCAGGGCTACCTACACCTGACTTCCTACACATAAGTACTACTCACCTCTCTCCCTACATTAAGATTACAAATACTTTAAGATAAGTAATGAGTGTACTGTGAATGTATTTTACTTTGTGTGTTTTTAATGCCTAGTTCTATTACTAACTTAATATAATTTAGTGTAAACTTGTTGTCTGGCATTTATATGCATTTATTAATGGAAAAAATGGCGTTCTGCCTTCCAGCGATGTCTGTTTTCCGGCGACAGCCTGGAACCTAACCTGCCGTATAAGTGAGGCCCTACTGTACAGTATTTATCCTAAACCTTATGGTATAAAATACATTACTAACAGCATAAAAAGTAAAGTAAAAAATGAAATACCAAAATAAAATAATAAAATAAAATCATTACAAAAATGTGATGTTGATATTCAGTAGTAAGGTTCGACTTACGTCCATTCTGACTTATGACCAGTTGGTTGGAACCAAGCTTGATCGTAAGTCGGATGGTACCTGTATTTCTCTCATGTTTTGCTTACATTTTTTTTACAGTCATCTGGCCAAATTTCATTTTTCTAAGCATGGGTCCTAAGAAAGTACAGTGGTCCCTCAATTATCGTCCATAATCCGTTCCTGGAAGTGGGACTATTATCGAAAAGACGATTTTCGAATCAATTTTCCCTATAAGAAATAGCGTAAATACAATTAATCCGTTCCTGACATCCAGAAGTATTAAAACAAAATTTTTTTTTACATGAAATATAGATGTAGTACATGAACAGTACAATGGCACATGATGAATGAAACATTAGCAGCATAACACTTACCTTTATTGGCGATTCTTCTTAGTGTATGGAAGACTGGAGGAGGAGACACATTGAATTACTGTTTGGAAGGGGAATCCCCTTCCATCAGCACCTAAGGTACCAAGCGCTTTTCTGGGGTTACTTCTCTTCTCTGTTTCTTAATGTGACTAGGGCCAGCTTGAGAGTCACTGGAGTCCTGTCTCGCAAAAAAAAACTGTCCAGAGAGCTCTGTTTCGGGCGTCTCTTTAAAACTTCCCTAAAATGGGCCAAGACTCTGTCACTGTACAAGTTGCCGATATGGCTTGCAACATCCTTCTCAGGGTGATGTTTCTCCATAAATCTTTTCGTCCTACCCCACATTTCAAAAATCTCCTTAATTTCTGAAGAAGGCATCTTCTTCCATCTCTCTTCCTCCTCCTCTGCAGCAAGATTCTAAGCAGCGATCTGTTGCTCTTCCCTTCCTGCTGAAGCTCTTGCAGCTCCTCAGTGGTTAGCGCTTTGTTGTGGTCCTCCACCAACTCTTCCACATCCTCCAAACTCACATCCAACCCCATGGAACTCCCCAATGCCACAATAGATTTCATAACTCACATAGGCTCATCAGGGTCAGCCACAAACCCTTCAAAATCCCTCTTGTGGATACAATCTGGCCACAATTTTCTCCAAGCAACAACAGCTTCCTTGATTTCCTTTGTCTTGGCTATGATGGAAAATATGGTTGTACGGGATTTGTTATACATCCTGGCCAGTTCGCCCACACGTATGCCACTTTCATATTGTTCCATGATGTTTTTCTAAAATTCAATTGTATTTCTCACCTTCTTTACCAAAGGCTTGGCACTAGGAGCTTTCTTTGGAGCCATGGTAGCTTATTTAGCACTTGCAAGCACTAAAATGAATGGAATATTATGAAATATTTCGTATGAACACGTGAGGGGACCGTCGCTCACTGGAAAACAATGGCACACTGGCTGGGAAGGGAGGCTGAGCCGTGAGTGCGCGTCCAGGACGAAAGACGATTAGCGAGTTAACGGACTATTTGCGAGCTAATGTTTAGACAAAATAACGGGACTATTTCCGAAATGGACGACTTTCAGGCCGGACCATTATTGAGGGACCACTGTAAGTGTAAAGAACAGTGCTGAGAAGAAAAAGAGGATGATTTTCATGGAATTAAAGCATGAAGTCATAGATAAACAAGCAAGGTGTGCAGGTTTTGGGTTGAAGG